GATCATTATGGTCAATTTGTAAATTGTAGGTGCTACAGTCAAATCTTTAATATTATGGTCAATTTGTATTGTTTTTATGTTGACCAAAAATATACAACCACATTCATCTACTTCTCCTTGCGTAGATAGGGACACACGTGCTTTTTTTATTGGAAAATTAAATCCGAAGATGGAAAGCTATGTGAGGTGATTAATGAAGTTATTGATGTTGAGATCCCCCGAAATTTTTTATTTTTGAAAAAAATTATCCTATCAAGAGTATAATACGTTGACTTCATTTATCCAAATATATGAGAGAATATGAACAATTATTCTTTTTTAAGGACTGAACACTATTAGCCCAACTCTCGAAGTAGTTTTAATGATAAATAAATTTGTCATATCTCTCATTCTCGATGATGAAAAGGAGTACTTGAATTCTGTTTCTTCATGCGAAGGAAATGGAGATGTAGGTGTTCATGTCGATTGAATAACAATTGAGTTTTAAATGAAATCAAATATTCGAGAATCTCAAGCCATAAAATAGTTTTGAAAAAAGGGCTACCGATTATATATGCTATTGAGAAACATTGACCAAATATCTGAATTGTGTGATGAGACAAGACTAATCGCTGAAGAGCTACGCAATAATGTTATCGGTGCAATTGTGATTTTGAAAAAACGGGTCGAGAAAAATGTTTACATACCTAGAATGAATTTCTACCATCTGATCTACAATTAATCTTAAAATTCTAGAAAACACAATTCCCAATGTTTTATGTTTTGCTATGACTTTTAATAAAGTCAAAGTCAAACATTATCATTTGTTGGATTATATTTAACTAATTCGGTGTTCACTTATGATCAAGTTGCAGTGATGTTTCGCGAGTAGAAAGAAAGACAGAATTAAAAATATTAGTTTTAGATGATAACGAAAATCCTTGCAACTACACCAAAATTGTTATATAACCAAAAGTCTTTCAAAATATAGATTTAGAAAATCTTTGAGATGTTCACTTTTGAATTTGAATATAAGAATATTCATTACAAAATATTTAATACTAAATTATTTATTTTATTTTGTTTTTAATGTCTTAGTAATAAAAAAACATATTATATATTTTTTTATAAATTCAATTTAAAATATTGCATTGAAGTTAATTTACAGAAGTGTCAAAAATTTCGTCTAACCCCGTGCGTTGCACGGGTTAAAATACTAGTTTTAGATAAATGATTGACTCTGCAATACATGGGTACAAAATCTAATGAAAACAAAGAACAGGATCTGAAAGGACCCTCTTTGATGATGAGGCTCATTTTTTTTTTCTTTTTTTTTTGAGAAATTAAAACAAAGGAAGGGGTTAAAAATGTAAATCCACGCGCTCAGAAGTTATATACACCGTAATCTGATAAGGAAGCACAGCCACGTCAACGATCCTCGAGACGTTTATCAATCCTCTTGCGCACCGTCCAATTCCATCCAGTAGTCCCTTCCTCACCGTCGGATCTGCCCTTTACCCTCTCGGCTTCTTCTCTTTTAAAATCTCTCCGCCTCTCGCACAATTCTCCATACCGCATCATCACAATTTTCTCTCCTTCCTTTTTTAAAATCGCCAACAACCGTTTCTTCTCCCTCCGATCTCGACACTTTCATGGCTTCCCCATCGGCTTACGAGCAATCTAACACCTCGATCCCAGACTATCCTCAGGTGCCTAAATCCCACGATTTATCCTCCCTTTTTTGGCTTCTCTTCTTCGACTGATTTCAATTTCAATTTCCTTTCTTTTTTAAGGTTCCCTAATTTGTTCTTTTGTTTTGCTTTCCTTTCAGATGATCATGAAGGCGATTGAGGAGGGAAATGACAGGGAAGGCTTGACCAAAGACGACATTTCGAGGCACATAGAAGCCGCTCATGAAGGCCCTCTTCCTTCGGCCCACGGCACACTGCTAATCCACTGCTTGGAAAAGATGAAGCAGAGAGGTCAGCTCCTTTTGGTAAGGAATAACTACATGAAGCCTGACCCCAACGCCCCGCAGCACCGTGGTCGGGGACGCCCCCCGAAGCCTAAGGCTCCGCTTCCTCCTGGATATGTCCCGCCTGTGCCCCGCCCCCGTGGCCGCCCGCCCAAGCCGCGCGATCCGCTCGCCCCGGAGATTCCTCCAATGAAAGTCTCTGCTTCCGTAGGCACCGGACGGAAACGGGGAAGACCGCCGAAGTCCGCCGCTGCGGTGGCAGCACCGCGCCCGGCGAATAACGGTCCTCCTAGAGGGAGGGGCAGGCCGCCGAAGGTGAGACCGGCCATGGCTCCCACAGTTGGAGCATAATTATTTGGCTGAAATAAATGTTGCTTTCGTGTCTATCGCTAATTATTTGATCCCTCTTTTTTTATTTCTAATGAAAAAATCTGCTGGATTTTGCCGGGAGTCCTTGTAGTTTTGTTTAATTTAGTTTTACGACTTTATTTTCTTAATGTGTAAGAGGTTGGGATTGTAAGTAGGCACCAGTGTAAATGTTTGTATGCGGCAAAACTGAGTACCAGGCTTTTCATAGGCCGGTGTTGATAACTTGTCTGGTGTGTCTGCGCTTGTTTCCTAGCGCTTTTCATAGGCCCTTTGATTGCAAGTGTTATCCATCGATATCGTATTTAGCTCTTATTTTTATTGATCTTGAAATATTAGTTCAAATATGATTTGGGATGATTTTGTATCAGTTTTGCTATTTAAATCTCAATAAATAAATAAAAATTATCTGGAATAATTCTACTCTTGTGTTTTTTATAAAAAATTCTATTCTTCATTGTCATCGAAATTAATAATCTTACTTTTTTGTATGTGTGTGGGTTTGGGTCTTCGCTAACTAATGGCCATTTAACAAAATTTTTGAAAAATTTTCTGTTTTTTGCAAAGATATGAAATGTGAGATTCTTTTAGATAATTTTTTTTTCATTTTTTTAATTTCTAACATGAAATTTAAATGTTTTTATTTTCCTTTTTTTTGGAAAAATAAAAGCAAATTTAAGTCTTTAGAGTGAAACTAATTGTTTTTTTCAATAGTTGATAAAAGACTTAAATTCTTTTATTGACCCAATTTTGAATCTTGAGGTTAGAGGGAGCTTTTATGCTCAATAGCCTTACAATTGGGGGAAAGTTATTGCTCAAGAGGAGGATGTAGAATCTAAGTCCAATTCTGAACCAATCAATCATCAGGTCCTGTATCTAGAAGATTCACCTAGACCAACACTCACAGATACCCCAGGGCATTACAACTCTTCAAATGCTCGTTCAAACTATGTAGTGATATTACCTGAATGTCTTCCTAGCTAAGTCCCAACTAGCGAAGTCGTATATGAGGTGAAACCAACTATGGGACTTGACTCAGAATCACCTACACTTACCCAAGAAAAGGAGGTGGAAATCTTACCTATGGCAATAAATGACCATCTCCTTAATTGTATTGAAAACACACAACTCTAGATGCTGTTCTGGAGGAAATAGAGCCCATTACCTACCTCTAAGATTTCAATGTTCAAGAGCCTGAGAAGAAATCTATAGACAAGGAAATACTATGTATGGAAAAGCCAACTTCATCTATAGAAACTTCTGAAAATAATTCCTCATTAGAAGATTTAGACCAAATTTTCTTTGACTTCTACCTGACAGGTGCAACTATGTTTGCCTAGAGGATAGCTGTAGCCAAGCAAGTTGAGATGAGCTTCTTGTGAGTGACACTGAGGACTCTTCCACAGGGGTAAGTACTGTCGTAATCATTGAACCACAAATGTATAGTCAACCCATTTAAGACAATGAAAAAATCAATCTCGCAATCAAGGCTAATGATGTGGATCTATCAAGGAGACTTCCGCCACCACCAATCAATGCAAATTCTCCTCTCTATATTCTGTTGCCACCAAGTTGCAGTGATGAGTCAAGGATCCTGGACCTTGATCGGGCAAAATATCAAACAAGGTGGCATTAGAAGAGAGTCAGAAGGGTCAAACTTTATGACTCTCGGATCGGAAAGTCACGGAAAAAGTGGGTGAGCGTCAAGCTACAGATGTTAAAGAAGAGATTAATAAGAGGCAACCCGTCATTCATAAAAATATTTAAATAAGTTTTGAGGTTATTTTTGCCGCACCAGTTTTGGGGGCAAGAGTTATTTTGTTTGTTGTCTTTGATTTTACAGATGGGAGAACCGTAGGGCGTACCTTGTAAAGGAAGCGAAGAAGAGGTCCTGCACCTGGGGAAAACACAAAGTTTCTGCCATCTTCGACGCTCATTGATCCAACAGTCCTGGTTGAAGTCGGCTTCTGAGAGGAAATTGACTTCCTCAGTAAATTCTCTTTTCTCTACTATTTTGAGCATTATTTTGGATGCTTGTTTGGTTTTATTTTGGAAATTTACATTATGAATCATAAACTCGTTCTTGATAAAATTTCTTTTTTACATGTTATGGTTATCTGTTATTTCAATCTTCATGGTTGAATTTTTTTAGTATTGAGATAACTTAGTAATTGCATGTGAGCATTTCAACCATTAACTCCTATTCCAAAACACTCTTAACCGTGAGGGCGCAGTGAGGATGTAAGAGTTTCTGGTTGAAATGATTTCTTTAGGAGTTGTTTTGCCTATATATTGGTAGGAAAAGGTCTTTATAGAATAGTCATCAATTTTATTTGTTGATTAATTAATCACCCATAATAATTGGAAACTTTTAAACTTTTTGTCAATTTTTAATTTTTATTCTAATCTTTAGGGATTATTTTCTAAAATTATTTGGGATAATTTCACTATTTATTAACAATTCTTACAATTCTAACAAGATGGGTGAGAATTTAGAAGTTCATTTCTTCTTAACAAAAGATTGATGACTGTCTTATTTCTTCTTTCCTTCATAATATGTAGCTTAAACTTTTCTTCTGTAGTTACTATCTGCCTCCATACTTGTAATTATTCAACTTGTTGTTTGAGGGAAAACAATGTTTAAGTGTGAGGATTTTGATAAGCCCGTTTCGTTCTTATCATTTTCATAATATTCTAAACGTTATTGCACGTAAATAATAGCTAATCTTCTCATAAAATGTGTTTTCAATGAATTAAACTCTCATTTTTGTTCTAAGAGTCTTAAAAAGAGATTTTACATGAAATCATCATCAATCATTCATTATATGTTCAAATACTTGAAAAAAAGGAATCAATCATCAAAAGATCAAGATTCCAGCTTGAACTAGCTTCTAGGAGGCCAAAAACAACGTTCGAGGTCAAAAGGAATTGAAATTGGGCCAAATTTACGAACCAGCCACGAAGCCCAACAAACCAGGGGCCTGAGGCACCAACTTAGATGTAACACCCCGGCCCCCACCCTAGCCGTAAGTGTCCGCTCATAGGATTATAGACTGGCCCCACAAACCAACACAAGTCTTTCCCGTGCACTTTGTCCTCACTCGTGCGGGCCCAAGGAATTTCCCAGGGGGTCACCCATCCTAAAATTGCTCCAGGTCAAGCACACTTAACTTTGGAGTTTCTAGGTGATGAGCTCTCGAAAAGAAGATGCACCTTGTTGGTATGAGTAGTACTATCAATCCTTTTGAGCTCTTCATATTCCCATCTTAATACCGGGTATTACATTCACCCCCACTTAGGAATGCAACGTCCTCGTTGCATCCTTTTTTTGAACCCATAGATCTTCCCCGCTAGGTGAACTAAGCTCTTTTGGCCCGTCACGGTCGCAGGGTTGCTCTGATACCATTTGTAACACCCCGGCCCCCACCCTGGCCGTAAGTGTCTGCTCATAGGATTGTAGACTGGCCCCACAAACCAACACAAGTCTTTCCCGCGCACTTTGTCCTCACTCGTCCGCGCCCAAGGAATTTCTAGGGGGTCACCCATCCTAAAATTGCTCCAGGTCAAGCACACTTAACTTTGGAGTTTCTAGATGATGAGCTCTCGAAAAGAAGATGCACCTTGTTGGTATGAGTAGTACTATCATTCCTTTTGAGCTCTTCCTATTCCCATCTTAATACCGGGTATTACATTAGACGCTTCAAGTTGGACGCATTACCTTAATTGCATCCCAAGAATGACACGTGGAAAAAGCAAATGGTCCGGGACACCCAAAGCATCCAGATAAGGACACTTGGACTTGGACGCTTGGTGTTGGACGATTTGCGTCCGACCCTATATAAGCAGCGCCTCTCCTCTTCATTTGCATCACATTCCATCCCATCTCATCCCATCTTCAAGTTTTCCACCTTTATTCTTCATTTTAGCTTCTAGATTAGTTTAGTAGTTAGTTCAGAAGTGTATTCAGAGATTTCAACTCAAGATCTGTTCTATTCCGCTCGTTTGGATGTTTTGTAAGTTTCCAGATTTAATATAATTTTATTTTAATTATTTTTCATGGTATGAGTAAGGGTCCGGACCTCTGGGTCCAGATTGGTTTTGGAATATACTTTGAATGTTATGTTAATGTTGGAATGGTTATCCTGAAATTATTCTTGCCTTATTTAGTTAATTAATATTGAATGATTTAATTAGCTATATTTTGAAAAATATTATACACCGTAAGGCTGTAGTATTCAAGACAAACAGGGTAATTAAGAATCCTAGTAATAGGTGAGTGATAAATCTTTTTCTTTCTTATAATTTCATCATATTCTAAACGTTATTGCACGTAAATAGTATTTAATTATCTCATAAAACGTGTTTTTAATGAATAAGACTCATTTTTGTTCTAAGAGTCATAAAAAGGGATTTCACACAAAATCATCATAAATCATCCATTAAATGTTCAAATACTCGAGAAAAGGAGAAATAATAATTAAGGGATCTAGATTCAGGCTTAAACGAGCTTCTAAAAGGTCAAAATATTTGTTAGGGAGCAAAACAGATCAATTTGGGGCAAAACAAGGCCCAAAGTCGTGAAGTAGGCAAGAAGGTTCCGGATTCGGGTCCTTAGTGTCCAAAGTTGGATTCCACAGAAGTTGGACGCCCAAGCAAGCAGGAGTGACGCGGCTTTGCCATGCAACGCAATCGGAATGGACAGGGCATGTAATTCAGGCACGGGCATCCAAAGTTGGACGCCCAGAGGGATTGGACGCTCGTACTCCATATCCTATATATACCTCGCAATTCCCAAAACCATTCACACCATTCTAAACCCAATTTCAGGTTCCAATCTCTCAATACTTTGTATATTAGTTTTAGTAGTAGTTTTGAGGTAATTTTGGGGGGTTTGACTCCAAATCTGTTCTATTCCCCTTAATTGGAGTTCTGTAAGTTTTCTTGTTTAATACAATGATGTTTTAATTTATGTTTGCATAGTATGAGTTAGAGTTCGGAGTAGTTTGGTTGTATACTTTGAATGTTGGATTAGTATTGGAATGATTAGTCTATTCTTCTTGCTATATTTAGTTAATTGATATTGAAAGATTTAATTAGCTATTTTTTGAGGGAATGTTATATGTCGAAAGGCTATTATATTCAAGGCAACAGATTAATTACAAAACCTAGAAATAGGTAAGTAATAATAGAAATATTATTATTCCAATTATTAATTAAATATGATAAAGTAGATCCAAACGATGTCATGACCCTAGGTAAAGATATGCACTTATACTATGTGAAATTTATTTATTTTTGTTACTCTACTCTATTTATAATCGTTCCGAGAAGACTTTCGTAAACCTATCCTAACCTTTGCCTAGTTAGAGAAATTAACTAATTCCTTCGACCACTTCTTGAGAGACACGACACTCGGAGAGAAACCTAACCCTTACTGGAAGGTTTACTACCCAAAAAACTGTAACACCCCACCCTGGGTGACCCGAGACACCCAGACCAATGTTCTAGCAAAACCGGGTTACCTTGCAAGATATTATTTTCCTGAAATAAAATCTCATTTTGATAATTAAGAAGTTCTTGATTATTCTCATAAGCGTAAAGTGAAAACGTCCACAGTAAATACAACCTTGGGTTCAATCCGTAAACAATGTAATTACGTTTGACAGTTTTTCCTTATTAAATATTAATTAGGAACTTCTTTGGCATGGCCCCCACATCTTTGCGGTTCCTCCTCAGCAGTTGTTTCCCTTACCAATAGATGCGCACTGTTAAACACTACATGCTCAGCATAAAGCTTAGTGGCAAATAACTAGTAGACATATATAACATGTAAATATTCTTTTTGGGCATTTTATGTTATTCAAGTTTCAAAAGCTTTCAGCATAATTAAAATCATTGAGGAAACAATCACACTTTGAACATCTACTTACGACATTTAGAAAACTCTTGACCTACTAAGTTAACCATAGATTAGAGACTAAGTCGTGACTAGGCTGGAACCCCGCACTAGTCGATGTGAACCCTAGACCCACGGGGCCTCCCCGTGACCTCGGGTCCAGTAATCAGAAGCGAACCCTAGACCCACGGGGCCATCGTTGGGTCATCCACTTGGACCCATACGGTCCGGCCTAATAACATGTCGTTTGACCCACTCGCTACAACGTGACAGTACCTGGTCAAGGTATGTCATTAAATTAACTTTTAGGTTTTTACTTTGTCCACTAACTATTCGGTTAACCTTAGTACGATCATTTAAAAAAAACAACTTTTGATACCTTCAAACATTTTCAAAAAAAAACCTTAGTCGGTCTGTGTCCCTTTGCAACCAAAATATTTCATTGTTGCCAAACCAACCAAACATCACTCAAACGTTAGAAGAATATACATTTTCATGTCACATCTTAAGAAACAATCTACAACTATTAGTTTTCAAATATCTTTTATATATATACATATATATATATATATATACATACATATATATATACATATATACATATATACATACATATATATATATACATATATACATACATACATACATACATATATATATATATATATATATATATATATATATATATATATATAGGGATTGACTTCAGTGAGATGACACCTTACGGTGAGATGACATGCTTTGGTCAGATGACACAAAGCTCACCACTGGTCACTGCAAAGCTCTTCAAAGACAACTACAAAGCTCACCAAAGTGTAAGGCAAAGCTCACCATATTTTTTTAACACTTTAAATTTTTTTCCAAAAAAAAAAAATCAAAGGAAAGGGTGCTAACTGGACTTTGACTGTTGATCGCCAGCATTGACCGCCGCCTGCCACCGGCCGCCTCCGCCGCCGGTCGCTAGAATCCGGTCACCTCCGTCGCCGTCCGCCGCCGTCGCCGTCGGCGCCGTCGCCGGTCGTCGGAATCTGGTCGCCGGACTCCGACCGCCGCCGTCGGGCTCCGGCCGCCACTGCTGCTCCGCCGCCCTTGACTGGTGGTTGACCGGTGTTGTTATTTTATTTTTAATTAATTTTTTAATTTTTAAAATTTAAAAAAAGGTGAGTTTTGTGGTTCAAAGTGGTGAGCTTTGCTTTATTTCCAGGTGAGCTTTACATTGTCTATTGGTGAGCTTTGTAGTGTAGTGTGATGAGCTTTGCTTTATTAGCTTTTTTTTTAAAAAAAAAGTGGTGAGCTTTGCATTGTTCCTTGGTGAGCTTTCCATTGACAGTTGGTGAGCTTTGCATTGATAGTTGGTGAGCTTTACACTTTGACCGCCCATGACCAATGTCCACCACCGATGACTCCCACTGTTGCCGTGGACCGGTGGTTGAGCGGTGGTTGAGTGGTGGCTGAGTGGTGGTGTTATTTTTAAACTTTTTTTATTTAAAAAAAGTGGTGAGGTTTGCATTGACAGTTGGTGAGCTTTGCATTGGTAGTTGGTGAGCTTTGCATTGGCAGTTGGTGAGCTTTTCATTGGCAGTGTTGTGTGAGGCAACCCCTAGGTTACTCCCAAAAAGCTCCTTGTAGTAATCAGTAAAAAGGCCAGCAATCTCCTCCAAGGATGTGGTGATCCCTCCATGTTCTGTAGAAATGAAAGGAATGGATTTGGTGGTGTTCTGCTTCCTCATCAAAGCATGGAAGTACTTGGTGCATTTATCCCCCTCAACAATCAAATCAGTTTTAACCTTCTGCTGGAAGAAGGCTCTCTCAGCCTCCAAATAAAAACTTGCCTTTTTCCTTAGCATATCACTCTATTTTAAAAGGTTTTGATTATGAGGTTGAAGTAACAAGTCCTTCATGACAGCAGTGTATTCCTTCTTGGCCTCTTTTGCCCTCTGTGATATGTGACCAAATTTCTGCTTGTTGAGCTGCTTTAGAGGTTGTTTTAGCATCTTCAATTTTTTGCAAAGTCTAAATTGCTTGGTACCCTCCGCCCAAATGCTCCAGTTGTTCTGTAACAGACCATCAAAGGACTGATGGTTTAACCACATATTGAAGAATTTGAATGGTCTGGTTCCCTTGGTGGTGCTGTTAATGATATTCAGAATCACAGGACAATGATCAGATTCCACTTGCATATAACCAAATTCTGCCCAGCACTCCCAGTTAATGGCTTCCCAATCATGATTCACCAAAACCCTGTCCAACTTAGCCCATTTGTCCCCTTTGTTCCAAGTATAATGTTGTCCAACAGATTTGGCATCTATTAGGTCATTATTGACTCTGAATTGTAAGAGATCATTCATGGAATAAGCTGAATGGGTATGACAGTTTAATCTTTCATCAGATGCAGGAACACAGTTAAAGTCTCCCATGATTGCCCAGGGTATTTGCAGATTCCTAGCAATAGTTGACAGATTATCCCACAAGTTCCTCCTGATACTGACATTATACAAAGCATAGACAAAAGAAATAGCAAAACTTTTTTGGGTGATCAAGCATTGAGCCTCACAGTGAATAAACTGGTCAGTAGTAGCCTTGATAACACAATTAACAAAATCAGAATTCCAAAAAATGGCCATTCTCCCTCCCTCAGTCATAGCAAAATTATCAGCAAAATTCCAATTGGGAAGTTTATTGTAAGTAAGAAGTTTAAGTTTGGCCATAGTCATCTTGGTTTCAAGGATGCAGCAAAAATGGACCCCAAGATCATGCATGTATTTACACAAAAATGCTGTTTAGAGGCCCTATTAATGCCTCTAATGTTGCAGCAAAGTACCTTCATCTGCGGTTAGGCCCAAAGGCCCTCCCTCTACCTCTGTTGGCACCCCCCTTGTTGTTTCCACTGCTTCATGGGTTTATTCAATGCAAGAGAGGCATTAGGCAGGGGGATCCCATGGCACCCACCCTGTTTCTTTTTTGTGTGGAATACTTCTCTAGATTGATGAAGATGATGGTCAAACAAAGGAAATTTAGCTATCACTTGCTTTGTGCTACTGAGAAGATAACCCATATTGCCTTTGCTGATGATTTGATGCTATTCTCTAGAGGAGATGTCACCTCGGTTACAGTCCTGGCAGATGCTCTTAGACACTTCTCTCAATTTTCTGGACTTCATATTAACCCACATAAGTCTAACATTTATCTTGCAGGTGAAATTAAGGACAATAAAGATGACATTTTGAACCTGGTGCAATTCCCGGTAGGTAAACTACCTGTCAGATACCTGGGCTTGCCACTCACATCTCAAAGGGCTTCTGAAAGGGACTTTGCCCCCCTTCTTGCTAAAGTGGAGGAGAATATACATAGATGGAATTCCAAGACATTGTCCCGGGCAGGGAGAGTGGAGCTGATTAAGAGTGTCATACAAGGAATTCAGAGTTTTTGGCTTCAAGCCTTTCCAGTCCACAAGTCTGTGCTTAACAGGATTACCACTATTTGCAGAACTTTTCTTTGGGGAAGTAAATTTTCAAAGGTTGCTTGGTCTGATATTTGTAAGCCCACTAAAGAAGAAGGTTTGGGACTTAGAGATTCCTACACCTGGAACCAAGCTTTTCTGGTCAAGAACCTTTGGAATATTGCCTCTAGGAAGGATACACTGTGGGTAAAATGGGCCCATTCAGTTTATCTTAGAGGCAGAGAGATCTGGAGCTGGACACCTAAGAAGGGTGACTCACACCTCTTCAAAAGGCTGTCCATTGCTAGAGACACCATGATTGAGAAATGTGGGGGGCTTGATAACATTGAAGAGTACATGCAGGGTCTATGTCACAATGGGGCCTTTAACACCTCCAAGTTATCAAAGGTCTGACCATGGGGAGCAAATTGTTTTAATGTGATTAGCCTAGCCCTTGTGTGTGTACCCCATATAGAAATTGCACCACCTTTTGATGCCAGTGTCTATGTGTTAAGGACACCCTGAAATCTGAAATTCTTGTGATGTTGTTGTAACCTGTTAATTTGTAAACCTTGAAGTACTTTGCGTGTAACTTTGTTGTACTTGTATTTGTATTTGCTCTTGTAACCCGTATGGAGTGTAACTCCTTAGTTTGTAGGTATGCACGTAACCATTATCATGGTTAAGCATTTGACATTGATGTATTCATTTGATATAGGTAATAATAATTTACATGTTACCTTGTAAGGCAAACTTTAGAGTTGAGTTTTCAGTCTCAACAGAAAATACATTCATTAGTGAGATACGAATATTGGTCCTTTCTAGGGTTAATATTGACAGCGAATTGAATCTCTCGGAACGATGGATTATTAGGAAGTTCATATCAGAGAAGTTACGTACTCTCGAGACGTCTTTCAGTTCAGAGGTTTCTTTTTGCATATCACACGAATAGACTTCACACTTTCTTATAGACAAAATGGTTTTGTGTATGTATTCAAGATAAACTTGGATGGTATAGAAAATAGCTTTGATTTCACCTTTATGAGGTTAACATCATTAGTCTTCAGTCGAGAAATTCTTCATCACAAGTTGTCAACATCAACGACGTTCAGTCAGTCAATTCATACTAAGGCTAATGTCAATTTCCTTGTATGGTATTTCAACGAGGTTTTGCAAGAGTTATTGCTTAACAAACGATTTCGATTCATATGACATAATCGCATATTGTGTCGTAATGAGTTAGACATCAGAATGGGATACTTTAGATAACAGAGTTTATTGATTCTAAACGTTCGTGTTTGAATCAGCGATGAGATTGTCTTGAGTCCACATGAGGATCCTTGATATCGGCTTCACAGATGTTATTCAACATTAATCGTTTCTTCATAATCGTCTCACTTTCGTACAACTTTGCGATGTAGATCAGTTTCGTCACTCGCGATGCGATGCGCATGTTGATAACGTATCGGAGGGTCATATATTTTTCGTTTATTCTTTCGTCTCTTCACCGAGTACGAAAGTTCAACTTAAGTCTATGTTCGTTATAATTTCATTACCAATAATTGTTATCTAATGAGAATTTAACACAATCAATATTTACCAAGTGAATCCTCAAACCTTTCCTGGAGCAGAGGGATGCGAGGATCGTGGATGTGATTGACATTTTTTTTAAATATCAAATTTTGATCCGAAGATCAACTTTAAAACAATTTGCTCCGATGCCAAATTGTAACACCCTAATCTGTACAGGTCTGCAGCCCCTTTTAGACTAAAGTATTATCTTGGTAATCGTAAAAATTTAAAACATTTCAAACATTTTTATTCATCACAATAATATTTTTCATGACATAAACAATATGGATTATTCAATATCGCGGAAGCTTAACGAATCATAATCACAAAAAATAACTTATTAATGTATTTCAATTCAAAACCATCACATCCATTTTGACAATCTCGCCTCCATCTGCCTCCAGGATCACGTCACATCATTCTTTTTATTAACCTGCGTGTAGCAAATAAAACATACTACACGCTCAACGTTGAAGCTAAGTAAGCATATCTAATGCGTCGAACATCCATATAAATTGAATCTCAATTCATAATTAAATCATTTGATATCATGCACATAATGTTCAGTTCAGATATTCAATCATCAATATTCAGTTTTAATCACTCATTATTCAACATTAATATTCATACTCAACATTCATCATTAATATTCATCATTCATATATAACATTCCTCAATCATCAATATCCTTAAACTATTCTTAGTCCAAGGCCAATCTCTTTAATGTTTATCAACTCTTAAACGAATTCTAGTTTAAGATATTTCTAACCAATTCTAACACTATATTCTAGTCTAAGGTACTTTTATCCAATCCTCAAGCTAGGCCTAGTTTAAATAAAACTTACATTTGTTTAAGGTCAACTAGAAATCGAACAGCGGAATGCTCACTGTCGGGTTGGGTGGTATCCCCAAACGAGTGATTATCAAGTTTGGTTTGTAAATCTCGTACGTACGTTTTAACCCAGGCCACCGAATATTCATAATTATACCCGCAAGGCCTATTTCTAAGCTATCTTAGAGGTCTTCTAGATAGTCTTAAAAACCAACATCAATATGGATATATCTTAGAGTTCTTCTAAATATCCTTAATAGTTCATCAATAATTTCCAATCGGGTATATCCTAGAGTTCTTCTAGATATCCTTAACAACACAATTCATTTCGTAATCATCAATGTATTTATTTTAATCATGGTTCAATCATTTATAATCATTTTAATCAGTAGGTTCATCATTCATAATCAACCATAATAATCATTCATCATAGTCATTGATTAACATAACATCCAATAGCAAGTAGCGGCCTAGTTTCGAGTGTTAACACTCTAACTTACCGTCATGCATCATTTAACATTTTATTTGTTAAAAACATCATTTTCATGGTGGAAAATCATCTTTATATTGTTCATAATTAATTGGTATCAAAAATTTGATTTTAGAGCTCAAAAATAGCATTTTCAGACAAATTTTTAGATCAGAATTTCGGGGGATGGATCCAGCACTCTGGATCGATACGTGTGTAGAGGAAACATGCCTAGAGGATCGATCCAGGCCCTTGGATCGATCCAGACAGTATGGTTTTTGGTCACTGTTCATCTTCTTCTTCGTTCGGGTCCAATTTCAAAAATACCATTTTTAGTTACCAAACTTCAACTAAATTATATAGAAATGTTCTCCAAGGTTCATGGACGTAGTGGAGGTTTCGAAGATTTTCCGGCGAAACTTCCAGTGATAGTTTTAAACTCCGGCGACCTCACACCAATATCACAGCACCATTGCGTTCTCCTCACTCCTAGCTAGGGGTGGGCGCGAAATCCATTCCCGTTGGACCGTTCCAAAAAATCCCAGATCCGTTTTGTAATTGTACCAATTAATTGGGACACATTTCTTTTATCCTGAACCCGTTCCGTCTCAATATCAAATGGGACATGAACGGGACAACTTAAATTTATACCGATCCGTCCCGTTTGTCCCGTTTCATCTACTCTACTAATATATAATACTAATTCTAGTCCAAAATCCAAATACGCTCATTCTTTAATTAATTAATTAATTAAGTGAACTTCATAGGTTTGAGATTTCAGCCCAAAGTTTATTAAATTTACTTGGTCCCGTTTCACTCATTATTTTTTGTTATATGGCTAGATGTTTTTTTAAATGAAATGTCACCCTCTCCCCCTTCTTATATTTGCGATTAGGACAAAGTAGGACGACCCGAATCCGTCCCGGTTTATTCTGATCCCGAATTTTTTGGGACAAACTGGGATAAGATTGTAATCCAAACCGTTTCGGACCGTTTTTATAAAAGGGGATAAGATGCGGGAAAACCTAAAATCCGGACCGTCCCGATTCGTGCCCACCCCTACTCCCAGCAACATAATTGATATAAGGATTGTGAGAAATGGTGGAGAATTGAAGGGATGATGGCGGTATTTATATAGGGGAGGAATGGAGGAAGAAACCAAGGCTGCTGATGGATTAATCTCCTGTTCCAGCGGCTGAGTGGAGAAGGGGGTTGATTTCTGCGGGTTTTAAACGCAAGTCCCTAATTGGGACTAATTTTGTCCTAGTTAGGGTATACTTTGTGGTCCAACTTTCTCCAAATTTAAATCTGTTTGCACCGTTGCGATCAGACAATCGAACTCTATCCAACGATATAATTTTTATATTTATCTGGAATATTTTTTCAGACACCATATTTATGGATGTTTGACTTTGACAGAGTCAAAATTGGTTTTATTGACCTTTACTTCAAAAAGGGTTCTTTCATTTAATTCATATTACTTATTCTCATGATTTATCATTTCAAAGTTCACATCATAAACACTTTTTTCATTTATTCTTAATTTGGGCATGTACTCAGGTTCCCAATCAAGGTATCACAATAGTCAACATATGAGATTTATCTCTATGAGATTTATCCAGATTATGATATTGGAAATCAGAACATATTTTATTTCGTCTCAAAGCCTAACAACAATTTATTTTAATCAAACAATTTGTTTATTTGAATAATAACTCAATATAACTTTTTAGGATATATTTTGGTGCGTTACATTGATGGTGGTAGAATGTCATGAGGCAACCATTCTTAGGGGGGTGTATTCAATTCATATTTTAAAAGATTTTGATAGATTATTAAGAATCTATGAATTACGTAAAATCATTGAATTCTTTTAAGTCTGTGCAGAGTTAGTTAAATTTTAATGTATTTTGTCACCAAGATTTTATTAGATTTTGTTATATTGTTCTACATCAACAATTACTTATAAAATCAACGAAAATACTTTCTACGTGAATATTTGTTCATTTTCATTGTTACAAAAATCAAGATGAGGAACACAATGACACAATTGCCCTTTCCCAAATTGTTCAGCTCCATCCCTTACCAATTCTATCATGTTGTGCACATCCACCTCTTCCAATTTTACTCGAGTTACAAAATAAAAAAAATAAAAAAGAAAAACTCAAAAGACTATAGATCTAATGCGGAAAAAATGGATGAGATCGAAGAATATATCCCGTCGGTCAACTTTTGTCTACCACTTCTCGCTTCGCCCTTCAACATCGGAGACGGGAACTGTTCGCCGTCACAGAGCCGGCCCCCAAGCCGCCTCCTCCCATCCCGCCGCAGATGATGGAGAGGAGCCCTGTCAACGGAAAAAATCAGCAATTCACGAGGCCGGAGAAGATGAACGGAGGGCTTGGTGCAGAAGAACGAAAGCCTGGCGGAAGAACATAAAGCTGTGGAAGATACGTGTGCGGAAGATTTGGAATCCTAGGGCTTGGCTTTTGATAGGATTTGGAATTGGATTTGTATTTATACCTAAGGCATGAAAATCCATCAAAATCCACATTATTTAAAATTCTAAAAAATCTATCAATATTTGAATACCATCATATTTAGAAGGATTTTTTTAAAATCAGAATTGAATACATCTAAATT